GGTGTGCCTAGGGTTCAGGGCTGCTCTTCTCAGCCTCAAAATCTTGCTCTGTAAAGAAGAGGTAGGTCCCCACCCTGCTCGTGTCACAGGTCTCTCCTGAGACATGGGAAAACATTCCTCGGAGTTTCCCAGGGATGGGGGAGGACTTGGCATGCCTGAGCTGAGGCTGAGCCCATCCTCTGATTCCCCACCCTTTGCTTCCCCAGCCTGAGCCTGATCAGGAACCTTCAGGAGTCCCCTCCCAGTGCCTTGAAGGGAGCGCCCTGCAATTTGCTGAATCAGGGAGGCACATGAGTCATCAAAAGCTGGTGATGGGAATGTGGCTGTTTTCTCCCCATGCCAGTGGGTGATTGCTGCCGCCACCACCATCATCCCTGCCACTCCTTGAGGTCCTACTCGGTGCCATGCTCTTTACTTCCATGATTAGCAATCCTCACCAACACTCTATAATGTTATTATATCCTCATGTTCCACATGAGAATACTGAATGAAGCTCAGAGGGGTTAAGTAACTGGCTAAAGGACACACAGCTAATAAGAGCAAAGCTTGGAACCAGGTTTTCTTGACTCCAAATTCTTTGTCCTACCCTCTGCCCCATGCTTAAGGTGGGTTTCTGGGGGTGAGAGAAGGGAATCCTATTGCAGGTGCTGTCAGAGGAGAGAGGCGAGGTAGAGCCACTCAAACACTGTGGAATCTTGGCCCATGGGAGAGACCATTTGAAGGATGCTGCAGCAACTTCTCCCAATCTGTACAGATCTCCTTTGCAATGTGACTTTGCCACTCCTCTCATTGAGAGGTGGTGCCTATTTCTCTATCTCTTTGAATCTGGGCTGTCCATGGGCTTGCTTTGGCCAGTAGATGCAGTGGAAGTGATATATAGTCATCCCTCCATGTCCATGGGAATTGGTTCCAGGACCCCCCCCTCAGATACCAAAATGCGAGGATGCTCAATTCCCGATGTCAGCGTTCTGTATCTGTGGATGTGGAGGGCCAACTCCAGTGTAACTGGATTTCAGGCCTCAAGAGGCCTTTGAGGCTTCCAGTCTCACCTTCGTGGGATGTGGTATCACAGTGTGAAAGAGCCCAGGGCACCCCTTATCCTTAAAGATAAGAGACCACATGGAGAGAAAGGGCCAGCCAGCAGCCAGAACCAGCTACTGAAGTGTGCGAGAGAGAGGCCGTGTAGGATCAGCCAGCCCCTCATCCGTCTGCCGGCCCTGAGTAACAGCAGCAGGACACCGCCCCTCACAGTTAACCCAGCCCGTATCGTTTACCCACAGGATCCCAAGCAAATACAATGGTGATTGTTTTCAGCCACTGATTTTTGGTGTGAGTGTGGTGTGTTATTCAGCAATGGACAACTGATAAAGTGAGTGACTTAATTCTCCCAGCCTCGGCATCCTCATCTGTGAAATGGGCATGATGCTCACATCCGTGTCTGATAAGCTTGTCAGGGGGAGTGAAGGAGATGAAGCCTGTGAGTCTCGAGGCGCTGAGTCTAGTACGGTGTTGGCAGCATCGGCATCAAGGGGTCACCACTGGTGTGAGCGGCTCTGGTCAGGGTCTCTGAGGCAAGAGTCATGTGGTAAGCCCCTCTGAGGGTCTGATGCACACAATAGCCCCTCACAATTATTTGGCCCAAAATGTCAGTAAGGGTGAGGTTGAGAAACTCTGAGTTAGAGGGAAAACACTTGTGACAACCATGGCAAGTGCGTGAGTCTGCAGGGGTCAGTTAGGTGGCATAAATGGCTGGCTAACTGGACACAGCCGGCCTTGTCTGGAAGGCGCAGTGGCTGCTGGGATCCCGCTGAGTGTCGCTACAGGGGACCTGTGATACCATGTACTCAGGTGGCCAGTTCTTCCTGTTTTGAAGCAAGAAATCCCAATTTGAATGTGAAAATACTCATCTTTTTAAGTGCTGCCAATTAATTTGAGTATCTTTTTACTGCTTGCCAGTCAAACAAAACACATCTGGAGATGTTATATACACAGAGGGCCACGGTTTGTAACCTCCCCCAAACACTAAGGGGGCCTTCCTAGCACTGAGCTAGCCGCTGGGGGGTATTTTAAAGAACACTGGCCCACCTTCCTGGGTTTAGTCTTCAGACTTCATCCTTCTTAGCTAGCCTATAGTGAGCTCTTCCTATGTACTCGAACCTGCGCTAAACAGTCCAAACACGGTAACTCATGTTTACAAGAACCTACAGTGTAATACTCTCTCCCACCTTAACTGGGTGCTCAGAGAGGTTATACAGCTTTCCCAAGGTGACAGAGCTAATGGCAATACCAGTATTTGAACCCAGGTGGTCTGGCTCCGGAGCCTATATTCTTAATCACTGAGCCAGGCTGCCCTGTGAAGGATGCTACAGCTCCATACTCTACATGGGAAAGCTTGCAAGGGACCTCTCAGGTTCATTAGCCACCCTAGGCAAGCACCAGTCCACCACCGTGGTCAGCCTGCGTTCCCCAAGTGCTCAGAACCTCAGTTCCTCCATCTAAAGCTGTGCGTCTCACCTGGGGTTGATTCTGCACCCTGGGGTACATTGTGCAGTGTCTGGAGACATTTTTGCTTGTCACAAATGGGGGAGCTACTGGCATCTAGTGGGTAGACGCTAGTGATGCTGCTAAACGTTGCACAGGACAGCCCCCCAGAATAAAGAATTCTCCAGCCTCAGAAGCCAAGTGCTGAGGTGGAGAAACCTGATCTAAACACCTGGCTGGCAACCATGGCAATTTCCAAAAGGGAACCAGCAGAGAATATTCCAGGTGATTCAGTCTGTTTACCTAGGACATTTTTTTCTCTCTCCTCAGATCATTCTTTCTTCTCTTGCCCTGGTACTTCTTCACAATCCCATGTTGCTGTGCTAAATGCCTGCACTGAATAATCATCTCCCGATACAACTCTCGTAGATTAGCAGCAGAACAAATAAGAAATGGGAAAAAAATAGCGACAGGCAAAAAAAGATAAGTATTAAAATACGCAACAGATCCTTGAGATTTGACCATAATATCATCTACATGCCTGAAATGTGCACTTTTTCCTGGATTCGCTAAGCCACAATCACACTCTAGGCCCACATCAAATTTCAACTGCCATGGACACCATCTCTGCCAAACATACACGTGACTGCACTGATTTTATAAAATGACTTTAATAGAAAAGTAGTACAAGATATGAACAAAAATAAATAATCTTTATCTATTTCTAGCCCAGCAAATGGTACACTGCTTGTAAAATTGGTTTAAAATGCAATTTTCCTTATTCCTTTTTTGCTTTTGAAATACTGAGACAGAATGTTAATTAAATCTTCTGGATTAAAATTGATACATTTTTGGTTTTTAAAAAAGAATCGTACCAACCTTTAATCATTCCACATCCATTTTTTAAAGTTGGCTAACAAGATGATGTTTTACTAACATAAAATATTATCCAGTCATCAGAGTTAAATGTAAGGTCTGTGCGAACAGGTAAATTAGAAGATTCCTTTACTTAGTTTTAATTCCTACGTTGCTGAATGTTTCCTGTATTAAGAATGCGTTCCATCATCTTACTTTCAAAGTATGGCATCTGGCTTTCACCATTCCACAGAGAGGGGAGACTAACAAATACTTTCTTAAAAAAATAAATATTTTAGAAGTATACTTTACAGTGATAATGCAGTATCTTAGACCTATGTCTTGGTGCGTATTTGCATCATATATACCCTTCAAGTTATCAGTACCTTTTCTAGCTGTTTCTATTTAAATGATGGGTCACTCAGTCTTTGGGGACTGTTTCTGCTAATGAATCTGTGAGTCAGCCAGTGACTCTCTTATTTGGAGTACTTATCCTGCTACAGTGTCGTCTTTGATACTTCTGGTGGCTTGAACAATGTCTTGCAAAAACAAATTGAAAATTGTATTGGCAAATCGTACAAGCAAAGGGTTTGCATGGGCTACTGAAACACAGTGCCAGTCTCGGGAGGTCAGCAGCTTGAGAAACTGAACAGATACACTGGACTAAAGCTTAAAACAGTCTTCCTTGTACTTAAGCCCATAATTACTATTTTGAACATAGCTCTGTTTGTCGCTGCCTGTATATAAATTTTTTGTTAATTTTCCTGTATTGGGAAGATCTTGAATGCACTCCAGGATGAGAAGAAAAAAAAATATGCTGACGCTCCTAAATCGAGTATATGTTTTTGCAATAAAGAACACTGGTCAATATACAACTGAGGAAAAACTGAAACAGATGTGAGTCCTAGAACCACAAGCGTTTGAATTTGCCCAGAAATGCTATTTTAAACACTCTATATGTTGGTGTACTGTTTTTTTGTGGAATAATGCATTCTTGGCATCCTTAAAAGGTTTCAATATGTTACAAGGTTATCCGGAAAGAAAAAAAGCAAAGGGCTAACGTATCAATCTGTGCGTCGCGGGCCAGGCTTCGCTGTGCGTTTTCAAGAAGCACAGGGCTTGTATTAATTGCACTTAACACAACGAACCTTCAGTTTCCTTCATTCTCTGCAGACTGAGGCTTGCTTTTCATAAACCTGCTTTCCAAGGGGCAAAGAGACACTCCATCCACACAGTAACTTCGAACTAGAGCAGCGCGCTAGCTGCAGTGGTGAACACAAATACACTTTCTTTTGGACTAAAATTCTGGTCATGGATAAAAGCATGTGCCTTTTCAGTTCTTAGCTCTGAGATGTTACAACACCAACAAGCTCTAAAACAATTAAGTTACATGCATAATGCTCGAAGAATGTGAGCAATCCTATAACCAGCTTTAAGCCATCTGCTTGATTTCTTTTTTTGAGGAACATATATAGGAAAAGAGAATTCCCCTTTTGTTCCGTTACATATAGAAATCTTTTGAAGCTCCCAAATAGTTTGGTTTTGGTAAAATTCTCCACTCTTCTGTTATTCTGACATGTAGTCACCCCTAAACTATCCCTCATGTTTTCTCAAAAACTCTCCACATGAAGTATCTGAAGGACAATTGAAACCACTTACCAATATCCAAGTAACGTTTTATTTTATATTCTATCTTCCATTTGGCATAAGCCTTTCGATGTCTGTTTGTTTTTTGAACCAGTGAAATATACAAATCACACGAGACAGAAATATGTACATGAAAAGTATAGAATAAAGGCCATAGAAGATATACATAATATCTGAATGACAAGTAGAATATTTTACATTAAATAGTTTCCTTTAAAAACTAGGATTGTTAAACTCAACTCTCTTCATAAACATGAATCACTAAAAAGGAACAAAATCTGGTTTAGCAAATAAAAGGAACTTACTTCATGGTTTTTGTATAATAAAAACCAAAAAAGTGACATTTTAAACTAATTAGTGCTTCTTACTTTCAAGATCTTTTGCTTGCAATTCACTGCAACTGCAGGGGAGTGAATATCCTTGTGCAACAAGAGCCACAGGTGGCTGAGGTGATCTGAGGGCCACCCGTTCCCACGAGGGCTGCAGGAGATGTGTATCTTTCCAAACTTTTAAAACAACAGAAGTCTGAGATAAGAACACATTTGATGGCACTCTTTGGAAAGAGGTGTCCTGGTTTAAAAATTTTTTTAAACTAGCTATATATGTTGTGAGCTGGATTTTCCTTAGGGACTCAAATAGGTACTATCAGGTCTAATGAGCTCCAGTTTCCACTCTGCAAAATGCATGAAGGAAAGAGAAATGCCGACAATGCTTCCGAGTGTTGAATATCTCTTCATTCCCACGTCTGTGATGAATAAGTAATGCCCTCTCCAGAAAGGGTACAGAAAAGGAGGATGGGGCAGGGAAGATAAAAGAAATCTTCAAACCAACAATGCACATGAGTATAAGACCTTCCGGATTCCTCAGAAACAAGGCTGTTCCGTGATGCTCAGGGCGTGACGGCATCAAGGCCACAGCCCCAGCTCAACTCAGAAACCGTCTGGAAAAATCCCAATTGGATTGCAATGGAGGACAACAAGGCTCTAGACCCGAGTAAACTGTAAATCTAAATCACTGGCTGCACTGAGATATAATTATATCTATATTTATATATATATATGTGTGTATATATATATATATATATATATATATATATGTATGTTATGTACAAGAGACTGAGATATCAGGCACCATTAAACCACATTTCCCCCCTTATAAATGCAACTGTTCAAGTCCTCTAGGAACAGTTCTGGGGTACACCTGCAGGGTAATAGGAAAGCGTGAGTGGAGAGTCTAAACACAGGAAACGCTGCCACACCTCTGTGAAGTTCATTCGCCAAGTAATGTCATTAAAACACAGAAAACTACTGCTCCTCAAAATAAAAGTTATAGGGGAAAAACAAAATCCCTAAGTAGCAAACTGTTTCCCAACGGAGCTCCTATGTTTCATTTCCTGTCCTACTATCAGAGGGGACGCAGTGGAGCTGCCGTTTGGAAACGTGCCGGTGTCACAGCGCAACAAGGCATGGAGGAATCGGATAGGGCGCGGGGTCAAGTAGGGAGGGCGGATGTCACGTTTCCCCCTCAAATAGGTTTTCTGCTCTGGTGCAGTGCTGAACTGCACGCAATTACCTTGTAGCTCGGGCTGAGGATCTGTGAATGGAATTCATTTATTATTTTCATTGTTATCATTTATTAACCAAGTATCCCTAAGAAAATTACAGTATATTTTCCTTTACAGTCAAGTCAACCTCCCTTGCCCTTCTCCAAACAAAAATTCTAGTACCCAGAATCGCTCGGGGATCCTTTTCCAAGTGGATAACCTAATTCCCACAACAGCGTAAAATCACTGACTTAATATAAGGAGTTTTTAAGTTTTCTCTTTTTTTTTAATTTCTGGGGCTTCCCTCCCTGCTCCCCAAGTTTCAGTAGCTAGTAGAATGGACCATCTGTAGATGGAATGTTTGAGAACAGTGCGACACATGATAAACCTTTTTTCTTTAAGGGATATGAGATTTTTGCTCTTAGACTTTAAATACCATTTTGGAAATGTTTCAGGCTGGCAGCCCCTGGGAAAGGGGCGGGTGTGTGTGTGTGTGTGTCTCATTGTTTTGTTTTCTTCTCAAGACCTTTCAACTTTCACCAGAGCGCCGAATTCCTTTTAGTCACAGGAGCTAAATCACGCATAGATCTGTACCACCCTCTTGCAGCTGGACGCTACCTGTCCCATATGACCCCATAGTTGAGACAAAGAAAACAGTGTTTCCTTGACCTTCCAGATGTGCACACATCCAACTTAAGGTGTGCGTTATTCCCCCCTCATCCTATATACCAGCAAAAGAAGTCTTGTCTTACTTTTCAATGATCCACAAAATAAATATTTTCTTGGTTCCCACCCCCCCCTTTTTGCCAAATAATAATTATAATATTAATAATAAACCACAGAGTTCTCAGATGGGAACAGGAAAAAAAAAATGGTTCCGGTTGCAATTCTTGGGGACAAAAAATAAACAGTATTAAAGACAACAACAACAACAACAGAATCACTGTACTTTCTATAAATAAGTGGGTCCTGGGAGTGGGGCTGGGTGACAGGCGGGCGGCGGGGTGCCCACTACTTGCACACGAACTGGTCCACGATCTCCGTGCACTTCTTGCACTTGACGTAGCAGCACCAGTGGAACTTGCAGTGGCAGCGCTCGGTCTGCACCGTCTTAAACTGGTCGTAGCCGCGGCCGCAGCACATGAGCTCACAGCCGTCCATGCCCTCGGACGTCTTGTTGCACAGGCGGCCCTGTGTGCCCAGCGAGCCGGTGCTCTCGTTGCGCACGCAGTAGTCGGGGCTGGGGTCGATGTAGACCAGGTCCTGCGTGGTGGGCGAGTTGAAGCGGCTGTTGACCTGCACCAGCTTGCCCCGGCTGTTGAGCCGCATGGCCGCTGCGCTGTCGTACTTCTCCTTCAGGGCGTCGCCCACCTTGCGGAAGTCGGCCAACTGCAGCCAGCACGTCTTGAGGCTGCACGAGCCTGACACCCCGTGGCACTTGCAGGCCACGTCCGCCAGGTTGTACACCGTCTGTGGGGAGAAAGGGACAGTCAGCGGGCGAACTCACCCGGGAGCCCAGACTTGGGCGGGGGTCGGGTGACCGAACTCCCCGGCTGGGTGGAGCCCTGGTCACCAGCTAAACCTCGGCCTGGGCTACTTCCCCATCGTCCTCCATGACCAGGAGCCTTGTGTTGCCTTCTTTAAAAAGTCTGCAAAATAAATAGCCTCTTAGCCCCTCATTATCACACATCATCATAATAAACAACCACAGTTTTTGAATGGGAGCAGGAAAAAAACTGGTTCCATTTGTCTCTTTTTTTTTTTTTTGCAGGGAAGAACATTGGCAGCAACTCATACGTCTTGAACACTCAGCCCTGAGCTGCTATCAGTCCCTCACCTGCGTCACCTGGATTCATCCTCACCACCAGCCCACGAGGGAAGAGCTCTCTCATCTGCATCTCACAGAGAAGGGAAGCGAGACCCAGCAAGGTGAGTTACTGACCCAACCACTGGGAAGGAGCGGGGGGAGCGGGGGGCAGGATTTGAACCCAGGCAGGTGGGCTCCAAGCTCATGCTCATGACTTGGCCCTGGGCACCCAGCTGGTAAGTGGCAGGGCTGGGCAGGTGTCCAGCCCAGGTAGGATCAGGGTTCAAATCTTTCCTCACTCTTACTATCACTACTGCTGTGTGGCAGGCACTATCGTAAGAGCCTTTTTATACTCTTCATCTCACTTAATGCCCCCAGCGAGGTTGTAACGTGGCCTGGATTAGATGATGGCAGTGACGCAGATAGAGGGTAAGTGGCCCGCACAGGTCGCACAGCTAGAATGTGGGAGAACCGGGTGTGGATCTCAGGTACCCTCACTCCTGCTTCTCGCACACTCCCTACTCTCTATCCGCCCCTGCCTAGGCGAAAAGCATCCATCTTGGACCCAGGCGGACCTGGGTTCTGTCCTAATCTGTCCCTGAATTTAGGCAACAGGCTTCACCGTTCTGAGCCTCCGTTTTCAATTTGGGAAGGGCACTGTGATGGTTGCAACCTCACAGCACGGTTGCAAGGATAAGATCAGGAGATGCGTGAAAGTACTTAGCAGGCAGGATGCAATCAGTAAACCTGGTCTGCAGGGTGACCGTCTGGACGCTGGTCCTGGGCCCTTGCCCAGTCACCCTGGCCTCGCAGTAGCAGCACCTATGGGTCTGGCCTCACGGTGCTGTGCGCCCAGCAGTCTGGGAGGTGGCGGCTGCCTATTTATAGTGCCGACTGCCCACAGTTCCTGTGCCAGTGACCCTCCAGAGCCGGCGTGCTGCTGGCACGCTGCACAGCGCCTGTCAGGAACCTGGAGGGGGCCAGAGTGAGTTAGAAGGCTGCTTCTGCCCAGAACAGCTACCTTCTCCCTCCAGGGATGCATAAGGGGCTTTCTTACAAGGGGAGCTGAAGTGTACTCCCTTGATATGAAGTGTTTCAGTCCCGCAGCTAGTCTGCAGAAGGGTTTTGCAAACCCTTCTATGTAACCTTCGCTCCCCTTTGAGGAAAATCAAAAGCTGATGTCCCAAGGAGATTCTAATATGATTTCCTGGTACAGTGTCTAACTTTCCTCCTCCCACCCCCACTACCGTGCAGAAAAACTGTCTTCCCAGTAATCTCACCCACCAGAATCCAAGCACAGTTCATTGCTCCAATTACAAAATTTCCAAAAACACTCCCCCTATTTAAAAATCCAAATGTTAAATGAAATTCTATTGAAGGGGCTTTTCCCACTCTCCAAAATCCCCTCTCTCCACCTGGAAATCCCTTGACCTTCTCTTCTTGGTTGCTATAAGCCCCTAAGGATTTCTCTCCATGAGGGAAGTCGAAGAAATCCACAAAGATGGATGAAAGCACCAAACAGGGGCACAGTGGGGCGCAGAAGGGTCAGCCATACCTGTCCTGGAAGCGTTTCTGGTCTGAGATGCTGGGCACCCGGCATGCAGCGTAAGGTGGTGTGTCCCTGATGAGGGCAAGACCAAAGTCCTAGGGCCCCAGAGAGAGCGGGACTGGCATGCCCACTCCATGGCGCGGGTCGGCTGCCGAGGGGGGTGAGTCCACGCACACTGCCGGCACCACAGCAACGGGCGGCCTCAGAAAGGAGAGGCCGCACTCACCTGGAGCAACTACCTGACCCCTCAAGGCGCCACAGGTGAAATTCTCCAGAGTTTAGTCTTTCCCTGAGAACCGCCCCCCCCCCCCAAATAGTTAAGATCAAATTTGAGAAGAAATAGGTTAGCTGGAATGATCTAGATAATCTTTGGCTTCCCTAAGTCCTTTGCTTCCAGTAACTAAGCTATCATTTATCAAGCACTTACCTCAGCCCTTCAACTGAACCTTATGAAACTGGACGTCAGAAATGGTGAAGTATTGGTAATAAGGTGCAGTGTGCTATGTGATGGCAGTGAGTCCCACAGCAAGCCCAAGCGATAGCTAACGCCCATTTAACAGATGTGCGAACGGGGAAACCGAGGCTCAGAAACGAACAGACAGAAAGAGGGTTTAACCTAGATTTCTTTAATCCCCAAAACTATGGCCCTTTACCCTCGACCTGTGACGCATTAGTTTCATTTAAAAAAAAGCGCCTGGGCTTACAGGTCAATCCACTAATTCTCCCCACGGGCTTGAAGTGGTTCTCCAGCCTCAGTTTCCCAGTCTTTAAAATGAGGGGGTGTGGATGAGGGGCCCAAAGGCTCCTTCCAGGCCTCTAGCTTCACTCTGTGATTATCGTCCCTTTTCCTCACCCCAAAATACAGAAGACTGAAATCTCTGACCAGAAAGTTCCTGGCACTTACCTTGGGTTCTGTGAAAAAATAATGGCTCTGGTTTTCAGTGCTGCCAAAGTTAGGAAAAGTTTTCACCCCTTCATTATAAAGTAGCCATAAAGTGCCATGTGTTTAACCACAGGAAAAAAGGGTCTTTATTAACGATTGTGGGCGAGCCTTTCACATCCGCATCAGGGGAAGGAAAGAATGAAACCGGGAGACTGGGGCTACCTGGCAAGGATTTCCTCTCCGCACACCTCTGAGTGGCTCTCTCCCCTCCCCAGAGCATCTCTCCGCACACCTCTGAGTGGCTGTCTCCCCTCTCCAGAGCATCTCTCCGCACACCTCTGAGTGGCTCTCTCCCCTCTCCAGAGCATCTCTCTGCACACCTCTGAGTGGCTCTCTCCCCTCTCCAGAGCATCTCTCTGCACACCTCTGAGTGGCTCTCTCCCCTCTCCAGAGCATATCTCTGCACACCTCTGAGTGGCTGTCTCCCCTCTCAGTGCATCTCTCTGCACACCTCTGAGTGGCTCTATCCCGTCTCCAGAGCATCTCTCTGCACACCTGAGTGGCTGTCTCCCCTCCCCAGAGCATCTCTCCACACACCTCTGAGTGGCTCTCTGCCCTCTCCAGAGCATCTCTCTGCACACCTTTTAGTGGCTGTCTCCCCTCTCCAGAGCACGTCTTTGCACACTACCCAGTGGCTCTCTCCCCTCTCCAGAGCACCTCTCTGCAAATTTCTGAGTGGCTCTCTCACCTTTCCAGAGCATCTCTCTGCACAATTCTGAGTGGCACTGCCCTCTCCAGAGCATCTCTCTGCACACTTATTTTTTTTTCTTTTTTTGTGCTACGCGGGCCTCTCACTGTTGTACCCTCTCCCGTTGCGGAGCACAGGCTCTGGACGCAAAGGCTCAGCGGCCATGGCTCACGGGCCCAGGCGCACTGCGGCATGTGGGATCTTCCCGGATCTGGGCACGAACCCGTGTCCCCTGCATCGGAAGGCAGACTCTCCACCACTGCGCCACCAGGGGAGCCATCTCTGCACACTTCTGAGTAGCTCACCCCTCTCCAGAGCACCTCTCGAGCACACTTCTGAGTGGCTGTCTCCCCTCTCCAGCGCATCTCTCTGCACACTTCTGAGTGGCGCTCTCCCCTCTCCAGAGCATCTCTGTCCACACTTCATTTTTTTGGTGGTGTTTTTATTTTTTTGTTTTGTTTTTGTTTCTTGCGGTACGCGGGCCTCTCACTATTGCGGCCTCTCGCGTTGTGAAGCACAGCCTCCGGACGCGCAGGCTCAGTGGCCATGGCTCACGGGCCCAGCCGCTCCGCGGCATGTGGGATCTTCCTGGACCGGGGCACGAACCCGTGTCCCCTACATCAGCAGGCGGACTCTCAACCACTGTGAAACCAGGGAAGCCCTCTCTGCACACATCTGAGTGCCTCTCTCCCCTCTCCAGAGCATCTCTCAGCACACTTCTGAGTGGCTCTCTCCCCTCTCCAGAGCATCTCTCAGCACACTTCTGAGTGGCTCTCTCTCCTCTCCAGAGCATCTCTCAGCACACTTCTGAGTGGCTCTCTCCCCTCTCCAGAGCATCTCTCTGCACACTTCTGAGTTTCTGTCCCCTCTCCAGAAAACATCTTTGCACATTCCTCAGTGGCTCTCCTCCCTATCCTGAGCACCTCTCTGCACACTTCTGAGTGGCTCTCTCCCTCTCCAGAGCATCTCTCTGCATACCTCTGAGTGGCTTTCTCCAGTCTCCAGAGCAGCTCTCTGCACACTTCTCAGTGGCTCTCTCCCCTTTCCAGAGCATCTCTCCGCACACCTCTGAGTGGCTCTCTCCCCTCTCCAGAGCATCTCTGTCCACACTTCATTTTTTTTGTGGTTGTTTTCTTGTTTTTTTGCGGTACGCAGGCCTCTCACTATTGCGGCCTCTCCCGTTGTGGAGCACAGACTCAGGACGCGCAGGCTCAGCGGCCAAGGCTCACGGGCCCAGCCACTCCACGGCACGAGGAATCTTCCCAGACCGGGGCACGAACCCGTGTTCCCTATCTCGGCAGGTGGACTCTCAACCACTGCGCCACCAGGTAAGCCTGCTCTGCACAATTCTAAGTGGCTCACCCCTCTCCAGAGCATCTCTCTGCACACTTCTGAGTGGCTCTCTCCCCTCTCCAGAGCATCTCTCTGCACACCTCTGAGTGGCTCTCTCCCCTCTCCAGAGCATCTCTCTGCACACTTCTGAGTGGCTGTCCTCTCTCCACAGCACGTCTTTGCACAGTACCCAGTGGGTCTCTCCACTCTCCAGAGAACCTCTGTGCATACTTTGGAGTGGCTCTCTCCCCTCTCCAGAGCATCTCTCTGCACACTTCTGAGTGGCCCTCCCCTCTCCAGAGCATGTCCCTGCACACGTCCGAGTGGCTCTCCCCTCTCCAGAGCATCTCTCTGCACACGTCTGAGTGGCCCTCCCCTCTCCAGAGCACCTTTCGGCACACTTCTGAGTGGTTCTCCCCTCTCCAGAGCATTTCTCTGCACACTTCTGAGTGGCTGTCTCTGTCTCCAGAGCATCTTTCTGCACACTTCTAACTGGCTCTCCCCTCTCCAGAGGATCTTCCTTCACACCTCGGAGAGGCTATCTCCCCTATGCAGAGCATCTCCCTTCACACCTCAGAGAGGCTATCTCCCCTATGCAGAGCATCTCTCTGCACATATAGGAGTGCCTGTCCTCTCTCCAGAGCACGTCTTTGCACATTATTCAGTGGTTCTCTCCCCTCTCCAGAGCACCTCTCTGCACACTTCTGAGTGGCTGTCCTCTCTCCACAGCACGTCTTTGCACACTACTCAGTGGGTCTCTCCACTCTCCAGAGAACCTCTGTGCACACTTTGGAGTGGCTGTCTCCCCTCTCCAGAGCACCTTTCTGAACACTTCTGAGTGGCTTTCCCCTCTCCAGAGCATCTCTCTGCACACGTGTTCGTGGCTCTCCCCTCTCCAGAGGATCTCCCTGCAGACCTCGGAGAGGCTATCTCCCCTCTCCAGAGCATCTCTCTGCACACTTCTGAGTGGCTGTCCCCTCTCCAGCGCATCTCTCTGCACACTTCTGAATGGCTCTCCCCTCTCCAGAGCATGTCTTTGAACACTACTCAGTGGCTCTCTCCCCTCTCCAGAGAACTTCTGTGCACACTTTAGAGTGGCTCTCTCCCCTCTCCAGAGCACCTGTCTGCACACTTCTGAGTGCCTCTCTCCTCTCCAGAGAATCACTCTGCACACTTCTGAGTGCCTCTCCCCTCTCCAGAGCATCTCTCTGCACACTTGTGAGTGGCTCTCCCCTCTCCAGAGAATCTCTCTTCACACTTCTGAGTGCCTCTCCCCTCTCCAGAGCACCTCTCTGCACACTTGTGAGTGGCTCTCCCCTCTCCAGAGAATCACTCTGCACACTTGTGAGTGGCTCTCCCCTCTCCAGAGCATCTCTCTGCACACTTATAGTGGCTCTCCCCTCTCCAGTGCATCTCTCTGCACACTTGTGAGTGGCTCTCCCCTCTCCAGAGAATCTCTCTTCACACTTCTGAGTACCTCTCCCTTCTCCAGAGCATCTCTCTGCACACTTCTGAGTGGCTGTCCTCTCTCCACAGCACGTCTTTGCACAGTACCCAGTGGGTCTCTCCACTCTCCAGAGAACCTCTGTGCACACTTCTGAGTGGCTCTCCCCCCTCTCCAGAGAACCTCTGTGCACACTTCTTCGTGGGTCTCCCCTCTCCAGTGCATTTCTCTGCACACTTTTGAGTGGCTGTCCCCTCTACAGAGCATCTCTCTGCGCACCTCTGAGTTGCTCTCTCCCCTCTCCAGTGCACCTCTCTGCACCCTTCTTCGCGGGTCTCCCGTCTCCAGAGCATCTCTCTGCACACTTCTAAGTGGCTCTCTCCTCTCCAGAGCACCTGTCTGCTCACTTCTGACTGGCTCTCTCCCCTCTCCAGAGCATACCTCTGCACACTTCTGAGTGGCTCTCTCCCATGTCCAGAGCATCTCTCTACACACGTCTGAGTGTCTCTCCCCACTCTACAGCATCTCTGTGCACACTTCTGAGTGGCTGTCCCCTATCCAGAGCACGTCTTTGCACACTACTCAGTGGCTCTGTCACCCTTCCAGAGCACCTCTCTGAAGACTTTGAGTGGCTCTCCCCTCTCCCAAGTATCTCTCTGCACACTTCTGAGTGGCTCTCCCCTCTCCAGAGGATCTCTCTGCACACTTCGGAGTGGCTCTCCCCTCTCCAGAGCACCTCGATGGGCCTGATGGTCAGACCTATATAAAACTCCAGTCTGATATAAATGCTCCTCGTTTTGGTAGAACTTGTGTTTCTGAAAAACCCTGAATCCATCATGCCTGCTATCTAATGACACGAGGAGGGGCACGAAGAAAGCAGAGGGGAAGGTAAGTAACCCTGGAAGCTTGGGTGAGGGCCTTATGAGCTGAGCACTTACTGGCATAAATAACTCCCCTGTCCTCCATTTAAGCCCAGCCACAAACTTGATCCCGGGCGGAGGGCAGCGAACGTCAGGAACATTTTTATTTGTGAGCTGGCCTGGCCAGCTCTACTGTGGACCAATTACAAAGGCAAAGAAAGCTCTTTCTCAGGCCAGGTCAGGAGCACCTTGGCTGGAGGGGGCCAAGGCGGGATGCTTCCCCTCCAGGAGGCCTTTCTGGGGTGTCCACCCCCTCCAGGGAGGCCTGTGTGTAGCTGCTTGGGGAGGGGGTGGGGGGACAGTGGAAAGAGAGCAGCAGCGAGAGGCGGGGAGAGACCGGCAAAGCTAGGACGGGAGGCGGAGGCAGAGACGGGAAGAGAGGGAGACCCAGACGCAGAGACAGAGAGAGAAACGGAGAGTGGAGCACAGCACCGCCCGCCCCCAGGAGGGACGCGGCGGCGGGGATGCTCACCCTGCGGCCGGCCTCGTTGTTGTGCAGGTTCATGAGGATGCGCGCGCTCTCGTAGGAGCCCTTGGCGTGGATGCGCTCCCGCTCGCGCGCGTCCACGAACTCCTTGGCGAAGCGGTAGCCGTAGTCGATGTTGTCGCCGCAGCCGCCCCACAGCCAGTCCCGCGGCAGGTCCTTGGGGCGCGCGGCGCGGCTGCAGCCACAGGTGGACAGCTCGCCCTCGCGGCAGGCGCGGCTCATGGCGTTGACCACCCCCGCGGCGCTCACGGCGTACGTGAAGGCCGTCTCGCGGCTGCCTGCGGGCGAGGACGGGTGAGTGGGCGCCCCGCACTCCGCAGCCCCGGCCGCCCCGGCACTGCCCCAGTGCCGCAGAGGGCGGGTGGCGGGGGACCGGCTGGCACACCGCCGATCCCCCGCTCCTGGCTGGGGAACAAGGAGGCCCTGAGCCTCCGCCCCCCCCCCCCCCCGAGGGAGAAGGCGGGAGACATTCCCCCCACACACGTAGAAGCGACACATGACAAAGGAGTAGCATCCCTGGTACCTCTTCTCTGACACTTCAGAGCCCAAGGCAGGATTCTAAGCGGTGCTGGCCTGATTTTTCTCTACACCTCTTATGAAAATATTCCAAACTTATTTTCCAAAATGCCCATGAAAGAAGTCACTGAGGGAAAACGCAGAATTGGGGTAGACTTCCTTACACTTATTTTAATGTTTGGTATTATTTTCATTCTGAGTTACCTACAGGGCCGGGAGCATGGGAGCTGCAAGGCTTAGAGCCCCTGCAGCAGCCCCTCCCCACTCCCTGCGGCCTCGGTGGTTGAAACCCGGCTTTCCCATCCTCCATCCGCAGCATCTAGCCTGTCTCAGAACAAGGCTCCTGACTTTCCCAGAGGACGTTTCTAAACTGGTCCCTAGAGAGTTTTAAATGAAACTCGCCTCTTCTCAAACCCCAAGCTGACCGGGCTGACACTTCTCACTCACGTAGGTGTCTACTTTTAAAACAGCCCGCAGTTCCTTAGTGTCACTTCTGCAGCTCCCCAGCAGCCTCTGACTCCAAGTGTTAGGATAATAGCAAAAAGGAGGAAAAAAAATAAAAAGGTTCTTCTTCCCAAAACTTGTAAAGAATATATAGGCCTAGAGGAAAGAAGTTCTCTCCTTCCCTAAAACTTGTAAAGAGTATCTCCCTGTCAAACGGTTCTATAGGAGCCCTATTCGTAAGGACTAAAAAAGAGGTAACCATAGACTACCTCCATCTCCACTTGTATGTGGAGACATTTCTACATGTAACAAGAAGTCACTTAACGTATTGTCCTATGAGAGAGAAAGGGTTAACATCCGGCCAGCTGAAGCTGGGCCTGGGGTGGGGGGGTGGAAGGGGGGGCAAGATGAGGGGGGGTCCTTCTTTTCCTCAACTATAAAATTAAGGGTATTGAACTAGATGCCTAGTGAAAAAAAGGGCCCCTTCTGGCACTAGAATCTCTTTACTGGAAACGGTTGCTCCTATACTTAAAGAGCTTGCTAACAATCTTTTTCTTTGGGGGGGGGGGCGTGGACAATGGGGGGAGAGCACAAGAACAGCTGACAACAGGACTCAGCCCCAACCAGAAGGCCCATCCTGCAGGAGGACGGCTCTGCCCATGCAAGTATCCCCCAGGCTGCCCTTTTCTTGGACTTCTGCTCCACACTTCAACCCACAGCCATTTGTGATCTCCCTTCCAGGAACAGTGATGGTTCTGATTTACCAGAGCTTCCCTCCCACATTTTAAAAAATGAATAACTTGAGGACTGTACCGGTGGTTGACAGGAGGATCCAGAAAGTTCCTGTGGGGGGGGTGGCGTGGGGGGTGTTACATCTACCTAGCCTGGATTGGCAGGGCAGAGGACAGCAAGGGAGTGGAGAGAAATGAGGAGAGCAGACAGATTCTAGGGAGTGATTTGAGGATTAACGCTGATAATATAGAAAATGCTGTGTCCCTGGACGGGAGACTTGTAGAATAAAGAGGTAGTCTGAGGAAGAGAGAGAAAAACAATCCTCTGGAGACAGAGGAAAATAAACCACTCTCCTGTATATAGAGAGCACAAAAGGGCTTTTACATAAAACACAATAATGCTGCTATTTTCGTAAGTCTATCTTGAACATATCCTTTTTTTGCCCCAGAATACAAACCTGGTAGAAATCTCTAAGCTAACTGGTCATTGCAGGGAAACGTCAGCTTGAAAAGTGCTCTTTGGCGAAAGCCTGTGGATACAGTCATCCTGGATGGAACACTGCTGGTCCAGTTACAGCGCCCTCCCTGTGAAATCTACATCTACTCCTATTCTCACCCTCCTTAAAAATGGCGCCTTTCTTATACATCTTTTCACAGCATGGAAACAAAGACGAGACAGAGACAAAAGCTGGAAGGAAAGGCTAGCATGATGAAAAAACGAGAAAGTTTCCAAAATGAAGAGTGGGCCCTTTATGAGGCGATGGTGTACAGCGCCTGGACTGGCCTTGAGAAAGGAGGTAAGGGGTTGGGGGTGGCAGCCTGAGTCAGACACTGGCCCCATCACAGGGTCAGATTCTCAGGGACAAGAACTGGCCTCCATGTCCCTGCTGTACTAAGTGCTCTGGAGTGGGGCACCCACACGCCTAGCATCAAAGGTGTTTTAAATTTTCCCTTAGCTCATTCTCTTCCAACATACCGTTAAATAGAAAAGTGAAAGCTAAGTAACTTTTCCACTATTGGCGTGGGGTCCATGTTTCTCTTCCATAAAAATCTATTCTGATTTTTCTTCTCTCCATCTCTCTCTTTTTTCTTTAAAGGCTCTGTCTGCGTTCACCCGAAAGCCACCCAGCAGCAGCTTTCTGCTCTGAGACCTTGGACACCTGAGGATCCTTGGGCAAGGTGCTCCCAGGGCCTCCGTGACTTGCTAATAGGATCTAGGAGGGCTCCCTCCTCTAAGGCCGCCACAAGGTTCCACTCCGGCCCAGTTCGATTCAACCTAGACAGTGCCACACAGCTGAGGACCAGAGAGTCTACTTACAGGGGACAATTAAATACAGGCCTTTGTACCAAGGGTTCTGCTTGTTCCCTGAGGAAGCAGGCTCTTTGAATCTTGGACCACATTTTAAATAAATCTTCAGCAGAACTCAAATCCACTTAGCAAATGATAGCTTATTCTGAACACGTTGGCCCAAAACAGACTACGTAGGAAGAGGATCTTAAAGCTGTGCTCCAGTGACTACACAGAAAAACAGTTCCAATTGCTGTCTTCCTTCCTTGTGGCCATTGGAGGTGTATGATTTTCACTAGCTCATATACATGTGAAAAGCCACTCCCATAGTTTAGTTTGAGAGGAAGGCAGATCGGGGGAACATATAAGGCAAAGGTGACGGGGGAAAGCTGACAGGTCACCAACCATTCTGATATAGCCAAAAAAAAAAAAAGGTTTTGGGTCACTCACAATATCAAAATGCACCAGAATTCAATCTTCACTACACTGCCAGTTAACTACATAAGGCAGCCCACAATCAGGGGAAAAACTCCGGTGTTCCTGAAGCTTAACTCCTAGGTTCAGAGCCCAGTACATACATTAGCACATTTTAATCATTAACAGGAAGGACAAAGCCCTATGAAACTCTGCAGGCTGAGGCTGCAGACCATTTTCCCATTCAATTAGAGGAACAGCTTCCACTCCTGTATTATTTTAGTTTATGAAGCCGCTTGGCTCAAACATCCACTGACAAGTCTTTTTTGTTCTCAATGAATGCACTTTTCAGGGTTTTTAAAAAAGCATTTTATCCGTCCATGATGGACATTAAGCCAACTTTTTATCTTCAGTCAGTATAAATAGTTAATTGCTTTGATAAATTGCTTCTTATTTTAGGAGTCACTGCAGTCATATTAATTACACAGGCTTGTTTGCATAAAAGTAAAAAGAGACCGAAAATATTCACTAGAAAACACAGACAGGACCACATCTGTCAGACTGTAGCCTATGCTATTCAACCAAACCAGAGGCAAACTGATGTGCCAAATTCTTTGCCTTTAGCCCAGTTTTAATGCCACCTCCTCCCTGAATGGAATAGCAAGTTCAACAACACATTTAAAAATAAAGAATTGGACCGTGAGCCATACGTTAAAACTTTTTAAAGTTTCTAGGCTGAGGTCTGAAGCACGTGCCTTTATATCAATGGCCAACATCGCAAATGTAAATTGGATCACATCTGATTAAACGTCTTTCTGGGACTAAAAATAAAGCCTTTAACATATATATCTTGATGATAGCCTTAGGAAACATCTATATTAGGAAAATTAAAACCTTGTTTACTTCCAACACACCCAGCATTCTGAAAGATGCCAGGTTTTAGTCTGATGCTTGGGCCACTTTAAAATGACTCAGCTTTCCTCCTCATCTTTTTTTTTTTTTTTTTTTTTTTTTTTTTGCGGTACGCGGGCCTCTCACTGTTGAGCCTCTTCCCGGACCGGGGCACGAACCCGTGTCCCCTGCATCGGCAGGCAGACTCTCAGCCACTGCGCCACCAGGGAAGCCCCCTCCTCATCTTTCTTTTGAGGTGAGGTGTTCTGCTACTACTATTTTAAACAAAATGCTTTTTAGAAAAATTAAGTGTTCAGAAAAATGAAGGTGTCTTTGATGCCCTCCCCCATCTCCTGATTTGGGTCAAGAAGTCCAAAACTTATAATTAGATGTGGGGACAGGCACACACACAGCCATAATGACAAAATTCCCAAGCCACCAGCCTGCTGGAAGACTCCCTCCATATCAAGCTTGTAAGTAACACTAAAGACTTCTCCTAGGAGAGAGGTTTCTATATATTTAAAAATACATTAAATGGTTTCCTACCTATCTGCATGACCCTGCCGAAGACTGAGGTGTTATCCACGGTGCTGCAGTTCCACCTCCGGTGTCGGAACTGATACTGGCATTCTTTGATGCCTGTCTTTGCGCCCTCTCCGATGTACTGCATGTGGTCCTGATACAAGTGGCATAGTTTCTTCTGTCCTTGAGAAAGTCCTGCCAGTTGGCTGCACAGAGGCTGTGCTCCTATGATATATACTTCTGACATCTGAACAGGGTTATTCATACCTAGCGACCTAAAAAAGGGAGGGGGAGATGTGCATTCAAGATTTACGTGAACTCTCAAGGTGGGCCCCCTGAAAACATGTCAGCGATACATAGTTTTAAGCACACAGATGCTTTTTCTCTCCTGCTTGTCCCCATGACAAAGTATGAGAAGGGCTTCATAAAACTCCTCTGTTTAAACTCCACTCAGAAAACAGAGGTATTGTGTAGTTCCCATCCCGCCATCTGGCTCCTCCGTTAGAGTTTTCACTCCCTTCCTTGCCCCTCGCCGCCATATACCTGAAGCAGAATTTCACAGAATTCTGAAATCCACACCAGAGAAGGGGGAAATGGCAGTTTGGGGTACGGGCCTCTGACATTAAAGAAAATGACTCACTTTGCCCCACAAACTGGACCGATCTGCCTTGAAAAATGTATGAATGCCGAAAGTAGACACAATTAGACACGGGTAGGAGATAGATAGCGGTTCCTTTTGACTGATGGAAGAACAGTAGGACAAGTGTACTGAAGAATACTTGTCCTACCGAAGAAAAATTCAGCCCGTTCCGGACATCTTAAAAGGGCTCCTTATGTGATTGTGAAAGACCCAAGACAGGGTATCCAGTGAACAGAAGTCGTGTTTGACAGTCAGAAAAATGCTGTTCATTTACAGCGAAAAAATATCCAGAACGCCGTCAAAAATAATCCCCTGGATATACTGCAGTCTATCTTCAAGGCCCCTGCCGGCAAGAAACCCTCGTTTAGGGACATTTGACTACTTCAAGTTGACCTCCTTTTGATCAAATTTCAAGCCCCAAATACCCACTTGGAGGTTAGCTGTCTTCCTACAACTCTGCCTACCTCAGACCCTGAAGGTTAATAACCTCAAGTGACAGAAAATAAACGCTGGAACTCACTTTTACTGCCTCGAGGTGGCAAAAAGTAAATTTTATAGATAGGCTTACAATTATGAGAGAAGTGAATTTCGGTTCCCCTTTATTACATGATGTACTACAAGCATACCTCTGAACAAGGACCTCATAGAAAAAGGTCTGAATTTATAGGTTCTGATTCCCTATGGAGCTAAAGATAAGCTTCAAAGCATTAGCAAATTAAAAAATGTTTTGATTTAAAGATACATATATATGTATATACGTACCTGTATAAGATATATATATATATGTGTATTAGATAAATGCACCCAAACTCACGACTCAGCTTTAAATATTGCAGCATTATACAAACGAATCTTTAAATAAAAGAGTATGCACATAGAAAAACTTACCACCAAGAATTGCCTTCTATTACGACCTGGGCGAAGGAGATAAATATGGCCAAAGCCATTAGGAAGAACTTGGAAGACATTGCCCTTGCAGCCGTCCCCAAAGCAACTCCTGGGCTTAATATTCCAACCGACTTCTGGAGAGGGAAGAAAGGAGCAGTTTATTGCCTCTCAGATAATTCTCAAGCATACAAGTTTAAACAACGGAAGCATCCGGGGTCTCTTAAGTTTACTGTTGATTGACTGCGCTTCTCCTCCGTGAGTTTTTTGATGGCAAGATATAGGCAGTTTCTTTTTCCAAATTAATCCACCCACGCAACCTCACCAGGAAATCTGATTTCGCTGGGATCCTGCGCGCGGGGCACGCCAGCGATTACAAACATGTCTCAATGCTGTTGAGTCAAAACCCCGGTGCCAGGCGCTGCCTCCTTCCTGCTTGCTCGCGTCCCGCACCCCCTCGCTCCCCTCTAGTTCGCGCTGCGCTGAGTCCCTCCTCGGGAATTCACTCAGGAACCCGCTGCCACCCTCGTCCGCTCCCCGACCTGGGCAGAGCAACAAGTGGAGCCGGAATTAATTCCATGGGCGAGAGGAGCGCAAAGGCGAGAGGATCGCGCCGCCGGCGGCTGCGGAGGAGGCGGAGTGGCCGGCGCAGGGGTGGGGGGGGGGGGGGGGGGGGGGGGGGCAGCACGGGGGGGGGGGGAGGGCAGGGGGGGGGGGGCGAGGCCCGCGGGAGCAGCGCGCGCGCGAGTGCCCAGCTGGGAAATGCGGCTCCGAATTAACATCGTCTGTTTCATAATCAGTTTACGGCCCACTTTGGGGCCAGCCACTTCCAGAGGGGGAAGGGCAGCCCGGGTTTCCTTAGAACGCTCTTCAGCCAGACTGGAGGGGGGAGAAGGAGATGGGGGGGGCACAGGGGATAAGGGGGAGAGCGAGCTGCTCTCCCAACCAAGGAAACCGGAAAACAATGCCCTCTCCCCTGCCTTCGGCCTCCTCCTTGGACTCAGTGTACCCCAGAGAAGGGATATACCCCAGAGGAAAGAAGGAGGTCTGGGTCCCGCTGTCCCGAGAGACGGGATCCCTCGGCCCTCCCCGCAACCCTCCCCCAAATTCTGATTTTCTCACTCCCCCTACCGCCCCCCTCCGATCTCCACTCCTGGCAGCTGCCACGGAGAAAGGGGAAAGGAAGCCAAGAGGGACTCCAGTTTCCTTTGGTCCTGGTCTGGAGTTGACCATCTCTCTATCGCGACACCGTGAGCCTGGTCCTGGAACAGCGCTACCCCACCCTCGAGCCCAATTCAGACTTGGTTGGGTCAGTCCCGAAAGGTGAGGGTCCAAGGCGAGGGCAGAGCCGGTGCGAGTGAGCCCCCGCCGGCGGGGCCAGAGATGCTCCCGCGCCTCAGCTGAGTCCCTGCATTCCAGGGCGCCAGGGCCCTTGGCGGCGAAGGTTCGCGTCGTGAAGAATTTCGGAGGCAGGGGGCGGCCTTGGAAGCTTCCGCTGCCGTCCTCCCCACTGGTGACTTCTCCACCTGTAGGCGGCGGCGGAGCGAGGCGGTGGCGGGTGCGGGTGGGAGGAGCGGGTTTCCAAAATCCCCTTTTACATCTCTGATAAGGGTAACCCGGCCGCGCTGCGCCGCCCGCAACCCCCGAGGGAGCCCCTTCCTCGGAAAAGGGAAGGTGAGCCTCCTCCAGGCGGCAGAACGGCCTGGCCTGGAACCTGCGCCGGAAAAGAGATCGAGGGAACCTAGGCAGCCGTGGAAACGCGAAGGGGCTCGGGAGCGCGCCACAGCTTTTCCCCGCCAGCCGCCCTTTTGGCCCAGACTCCTTGGGGCTCCTCGAGAGGAAATGCTTATGTGGTCCCAGTGCCCGCTACCCAGGGCTCCGCGCCCGTGTCCCACTCGTCCCTAAAACGCCGCAAAGCCCGGGGAGCATCCCGGAGAATAGAAACCTGGGGTTTCCCCAGCCCAGCAGAGAGAAGGCTCCGTCTTCCTCCCCACCCCCGCCCCAAGTGTCAAGTTTCCTCCAGGGGAGGGGGTTGGTTGCGAGGGCTGCCTTCGCGCGCGGCCCAGGCTGCGAAGTCTCCTCTCCCCAGCGGCGGCCAGGACCGCGCGCGCACACATTCATACACACACTCACGCACATTCACACACTCACTCGTCCACAGACACACACGCTCCGACGTGCTTCCAAGGAGGCGGCAGAGATCGCTGCGGGCCGCGCGCACTTTCCGAGCTTCCCGACGGGCGGGGCGCGTGGGGCGGGGAGCGGGCAGTGGAGAAATTGGTAACAGATTCGGCGGATTACTGCGGATCTCTTTGTTAGAGGCGAAGCCAGACAAACCGAACCCACTCTCGGCCCGACGACCCCGGGGCGAGTCCACTCGTTCACAGAATGGGGGCCAACTGGGAGCGGGCCATTTGGTTTCTGCGACTCGGGTCTCTAAGCTCCAGGCTGGGGGTAGGCCGGAGGTGTCCCAAAGGGGATCCGGCAGGACAGCCCCGCGAGTCGCGTCTCCACTTAACCCCGCGTGCTTGGCCGGAAACACCTTGGCCCTCTTCCCGCTCCAATCCCCGCGCAACCCAGAAAAGGCCCCACAAGTTTGAAAGACAAGGAACCCACAGCAAACTCACTAATACATCCACTACTCTGTAGGGTGAACGTCCCTGCCTGTTTACCAAGAGATCTGATCCGAAAAGAGTACGAATAAGACCTCTCCGGAGACTCTTAACACCGAGGGTAAAACAAAAGTTCTGGGGAGAAGCTGAGTTTACCAAAGAACGGACTAAAAGTTTTTGAACAATTTCAGAGCCCAAGGAAACCGACTTTGTAAGGATCCTTGGAATCTGTTCCTAGTGTGCGACAAGTAGGAGGGTTGCGGGCATTTGAGAGGTTCAAGCACAGGGGAGGCGTGAGGTGGGGGTAGGGCGTTCGTTCGCACGCCCTTGTTTCCAGCCTCAGAACAGATCCCTAACCCTTCTTGAGAGAGAGAGAGAGAGAGAGAGAGAGAAATCCGTCACACTAGTTTAGAGGACGTTTGGGGCAGCAGAAAGCTTCGGAACGCACGCGCAAACTCGCGCGGCACTTAAGTCCGAGGCCGGAGGCCACTAAAACGAAATTCCCCGGAGGGAGGGCGAAGATTCTGGACCCTCGGCCGACGGCGCTACCTCACTTGATCTGGGTATCCCCTGCCACCTCCACCCTCAGCCCCCACCCCCAGTCTCTGGGAGCGGAAATGATGGAGAAACTGGGAGGAAGAAATTAGATTGACCTGGGCTCGTGCTGGCGAAAAGCACAGGAAACCCCAAGAATCCCAGCTCTTAGTGGGAGATAAATTTTGTTTCCCCCCCACCTGCGATCTCTCCTGAAAGCAAGGAAAGAGACGGCGAAAGTTGCAGAAGAAAAATCAGTGGCAGCCACAAAACTGGGGCGTCCTGCCCAGGGGAACGCCGCTGAGAGAAGCAGGAGGGGATGATGGGCTGAAAGGAGGTCCGCTTTGGGGGAGCAGACAAGGAGCCAGAGCTCCGCCAAGGGTGCCTCGGGAAGTGTCCACAGCGCTGAGTGCTGGGGGGGCGGGGGCTGTGTGGAGCAGAGAGAGGAGGTGGAGGAGGGAGCTCCTTGAGCCCAAATCAGTGCAAGGAAGGTGTGCAGCCTCTGACTGCCCTGTCTCAGAACCGACACCAGGTCCGGTAACAGGGCATATCCAAGGGAAGAACGGTGGCCAAGTCTAGTTCTGTTCCTTGCCTCACCTCATCCATCCCCAGACAAGGCTCTCCAGACTGCAAGACAACTCTCTCTGTCTCTCTCTCTCACACACACACACACACAGATGCCACTTCCACCTTCCCACACAAGATGTCTAGCTCTCTCTAGCCACAGGCTCTCAACTCTGTCCAGAAGAGCTGTTTGTCGGCAGAAGGAGAAAGAAAATTAAAGAACACTTCAACCCCCACTCTTCAGAGGCAGTTTCAACTCCACTTTTTAATAGACAAGAAACAGACCGAGAGGGAGAGAAAGCACCACTTGTCCTCGACCACAGGGAAAACTGGTGAGAGCGCCAAGGCCAGACCGGAGACTTCCTAGGGTGACGCTCCTGTTCCTTGCTATGCCCTGGAGAAGCGGTACCAATCCTTCTTCCACTTGCCCGAGCCCCATCTGCTGCGTCGCACCCTTGGCCCCTTCCTTATTAACGCAGCCGCCCACTGCAGCTTGGCCTCTGGGGGCCTCCGAGGGCCCCTCCTGGGAGAGTGGGACCTGGTGATCTGAAGGGATGTGCTTGCAGAGCCAGAGGTGGGAGGAAGAGGCGAGCAGCTGCCCGCCGGCCCAAGGAACCGAGACTCCAAGACGTCCTACCTCAAGGCAGCCAACAGGGGGCAGCCGGTACCGCACAGCGAGGAAGAAAGAGACTACAGGACTAGCTGAGCTCTGGCGCACCGTACTAACCCCTTGTGCACCGGGGAGCTCCGCTGAGCGGAGGGAAAAGCAAGGGACTCTTTGGCTGGGCCTCCTGGGTAGGGTCTTCCTTTGTGGAGACGGGCCTGGCTAAGTAAGGCTAGTATATCCAAGACCCGAGAACAACTGACCTTCTACTCCGCCCCAAAACACGCAGGGCACAGGTCCACACACTCGGACACACAACTTCCACTGCCTCCCATCGCCTGCGCGCTTTCTTTCAGCTTTGGCCCCTCGGAACTCCCCTGGCAGAAGTTGTCTAGAAACAAAATCTCCGCGTCTGGCTGGAGCAGCCTTGAACGTTGGCGGGAGGGCAGGGGTTGAAGAGGTGCGATCCCACCGCTGGCTCCAAGTGACTTCCAAACAGTAAGCTGTCCATTTAAAGAAAGACGAGGGAGGAGAAGGGACCCTGATGCCAGGCTGATTGGAAAGTAAAACAAGGCCACAGGGTCTCCCAAGTTTGGGGGTTTTAAAAACGGGGTTTTTTTTTTTTTTGGTGGGGGGGGCTTGTTTGCTTTAGGAAACATCTTAATTACAATTCCAAGCTTATTTTCTAGAAAAACTGAAAAGGGGAGAGATCAAGAAAAATGAAAATAAGGATCGAAGCTTGGAGGACAGAGAGGAAAAGTTGTTCGGAAAATAGCAAGTTATACCGCAGGAAGAAATGTTAACTTTCTGTAAAAGTGAACTC